CACACTCTGCAAAATATGGTAATTATCACTATCAAAAAAAAAAGAAAGAAATTTTGTGTCAATATTGCACACCCCTAAAATAACCAAGCATCTAGTTGTCCTAGATGTTTTTTTAAATTATATTGTAGTTTGTATGGTTAATATTAATGTAATTGTGAGCAAACTAGGGTTTAACAAAAGGTAATTCGGCCCGCACAAGGGGATATTTTCTCCGATCCGGCCCTCAACCTTAAATGAGTGTGACACCCCTGTTCTACATCATCAGAGGTGTGTACTCTGTGTGTGTGTGTGTGTGTGTGTGTGTGTGTGTGTGTGTGTGAGTGCCAGTCTAGTTCACAAAAAAGTCTCTTGCAGTTAACCGGTCACAGAGACCACTCCCCCCTCCTCTATACAATGCCTGACTGGCTACAGATGGCACCCCACTTATCATTCCCACTTATCGTCTTAGCAACCACATCCACGATGGATATTAGGATGGTTCCCAGAATGCTTCTTTGCATCTGTATTTGAGCTCCTTCAGCTACAAGTCTGAAGGTCAAAGCCCTTTTGTGAAGTGAAATCATTGACACATCTCATCAACAGGAGCCGCATATCCTTCGCTTAAACACGGACTGTTTAATGATGTGGGAGCTCCAACCAATGAGGAACCACTTCAGGCTCACACCCCACGGCAACATCCAATGGGAGCTAAGTATAAACTTCTGATATCCAATCAGAACAAGGCAAAATGACCTCATCCAGAACTATTTGTTATACAAACTACAAACGTTTGAAGCACTTCAAAAGAAGGGGAAAGACAGACGTTTCATCTAAAGTTTAGGACACTGTCTATTTGCAGTTCAGGAGAGAACTCAAGAAGCTACATTTTAGTGTAGTTATTTGCATACATTTGTTATGGCTGAAATAAACTGATATAAACATACAGATTCTGCATGCGAACTTACCCAGCAAACCATGACAATCTGTGGTTGTCCTGTTTCTGTCAGTCCCACCCTGCAGAGGCCATACATGGGCCTGCTGCTGTGAAATTTCCCAACCAATTCTGTCAAACCTCCAGCTGGCAGATGAGAGAGAGAAATTAAGAGGGAAGGACAAAATTAAAGAGGTCCAAATTGTCTTCATGAAATAATGGCTACATGAAAGTAAACACCTCAGCCACCATGAAACACTAGCATTCATTTACCAGATTATAATGATAATCTCCAGAGTACAGGACAGGTCTGATGTAATAAGCAGAGCCGGTCTTTTCTTCTGCACTCAAGTGAGATTTTTCTGCTTCGTCTGATATTAAGAGGAACAGTGTTGGCAGTCTCAGCCTAATTGGTAAAGCATTTCACTCATGAATGTTGCGTGATTGCCCTCAGACTGAGTTTTTAATTTTCTCAGATAGAGCGCAACAGTGACTGCCCACATTTTAAGTGACCTTGATTTTTCCATTCATATTCTCCATAGGCATTTCAAAAACTCAGAGCTGTGGTGCAGTGGGCCGTGCACAAGCTCAGGACATTATATAGGAGCTGTTGACCTATGGGGACCTGGGTACAAGTCCGGTCTGAGGTGTCACATGTCCCAATCCCACTCCCCTTCTCTCGTCTCTACTTCCCTGTCTACACTCCTGTCCCGCAAATAATCCCAAAGATTATATAGGAATGAACAATATGTCCAGGTATGTTTAATGACTTGTACGAATGAACTACTGATCTCAGACAAAATACTGTCACTCCACACTTTTTGACCGATGAATTTCCAAGATTTTTGTTATTCATAATTACTACTCTTTTTAGAAAAAAAAATTATGGCGACAATTGTCAAATTATTTTAGAGCCGAGCATTTATTTTCAATGGAAATTTCCATAACATTTATGATTTACAAAATCAACTTTAATATTTAATTAATTTCCTTCACTTAAATGAATGGTAAATAATGGTAAAATGTCCAGCTTTTCCATGGCTGTGGGAAGACTGATGATAATATATATAATATTATACTTGATAAAACCATAGATATTCTAAAACAATAAGCCAGTGATTATAAGTACAAAAGCTATATGATAATATAAAATATTCATAAAAATATATTCGAATCGACTTGATTTTGTAATTCACAATGCTTTATAGGAGTGGATGGTCATTTGCTGTTATTCCTGTTTCTGTTTCCATGGCTGCCTTAGCAAATTCTGCAACTAAACCAGTTTTTTTTTCTATTAAGTTGAAATCACACAGACTTATGGAGAAAATGAATGGAATTCCAACCCCCTGCTGCTGTGCTTTATTGAGCATTGGTGAAAATTTAGACACACAAAAGAAAGAGGAGGAATTGTTAGTCTTACCTCCTGAATCTGTGAGTTTGAGATTGTTGGTCACTCCCTCATATGAAAATAAAGCCCTGAAGAAGACAAAGAGAGAAATACATTAGTACGTTACACTGGAGGAAAACACAGCAGTCCACATTGTAGAAACAAGTGACAGAGTTAAGTTACAAGATTTGTTGAAACCAGATTGTAACGTAATATCCTGGACCAGACCATATCAAGCGCTGATACCATTTCAAAATGAGGCAAGTCAATATATCAATAGTGATCCATGACCTTTCACAGTATGAAACAAATCATGGCCCTCCTTGCATTCCTCAGCCAAACATAATCAACACCACATCCTCGCTTATGTCATCTTAAAATGAAGTAAGTGGGCTTGGGCGTGAGGACCATGTGTGCATTGTCCATATGTTTATCCTACGAGTTCACATCAATCCAGAGCATTTTTATCATTGCTCTTGCTGTTTATTTTTCTGATATTTCAGCAAAAGTTTCTTGGGATCTACTTCAAGAGTTGATGCCCGCTGTCATTGCCTATGATTTTTCACATTGTTAGCGAAGCTGTAATTTTGACAGGCTCTAGTCAGGACTTTTTACCCAATGTTCCTGAGGCTACTAGGTCTAATAACAAGTGTATTCATAGTGTATGAAAACGCAAAACAGCATTTGAACCCAGGTCACAGCTGTCTGTGGTTATATATCATGCACTGGGACTATTACTTGGAACTGAGGCTGAGAGAAAATAATGGATTTTGTATCAGGGCCACCCGGTCACACCAAAGCAAACAGTGAAATGCAGGTGGGGCACTCGGATTGTGAGATTAATAAGGCTTAAGGTTCAGTGCAATTGAAGTTCAACGCTGTATTTGTTGCATTGGTCCATGCCCTGTTTCCCTGCTTAGGGAATGGGGATCACAGTTCGTAAAGCTTTTTGGAAGGGTTCCCCCTTCTGTGACAGTCATTTGGTGCAATCATCAAAGTGAGTAAGTTTAAAATGGCAGCTTAAAAAGACACAACCACAGGGTGTTCAAACCCAAATACATTTAGGCATATTCTTTGAGTAATATAATAATTCTGCGACTGTATTCATGAAAATCTTCTGAAGAGAACAATTTAGAAGTATAGGCCTATTTTAAGATAAATTCCGAGTTAAATTTAAATGTTCTTAAATGCAATTATGAAATTCTCAAATATTTTTCTCAATAACATCGTTTTTTTCGTATAAAGAGGTTGACAGGCTTTTGTGTTCTAGAATTGACCAACTGAATGAAAAACACTTCAATTACCATAATAATCATAATAAACATGCACGCTATTTTCGTTGCAACTGACTTGATGGGAGTTCAGCATGCAGTGTTGCATTTTTTAATTTGCTGTGTATTTTGAATAGTTTCTTTTAAAGAGCCTGTCTCTAGATTAAATGGTCTGTTGCATTCATTTTGGTCACTTTAGTTACTAAATTACAAATTCAGCAAAAAGTCACGTCACACATAATCATGCCGGTCATTGCTTAACTTGTGGTCATGCATAATAGTAACAATATCACAGTATGTTGTAATTACAACAATTAATTAGAAACAACCCAACAAGTTTACAACCCAAAAAATTGCTTTTGGGTTTTGGAGACTATCCTAACTTTAAGATGCTATTTATGATGATTTTTAAGAAGATTAAGAAATTAAATTCTCCTTCAACTTTTTAGAAAAAAGATAAGAAGTTTTTTGTCATTTTGAGAATACAAAAGATTCTTAAGTTTTTCTTTTAAGCAAGAAATTAAAAAGAAAATAACAGTTAAGAAGGATTTTATTATTAATGTTTCACGAATATGGACTTCATGATTTTATTATGATCAGTTTTGCACCTCACTAAAGAGGAAAAAAAATCAAAAAGTCTCAGATAAGCCATTTTCTGTCAATGTGAGATTCTAGTCCCAAGAATATACAGTTTCAATATTACGAAACTAAAACGCCCCAGTTTACTGTTGTGTTCATGTTTCTTTGGACGTCAGGTGCAATTAATGGGCTCGAGTCTGTAAATCTATCAGTTGGCTTACTGTTGAACTTGCTGTGGCAGGTACACCACAGCTGAGTGACATTATTAACAGGGTAATCTCTGGGAAAAAGCTTGGTCTATTCTAACAGTTAGTCAATGTAAAATGTCACGTAAATCCTATAATACTATATAATAACAGCCTGCCTCATGGATCAAACATGTCCAGTAAGAGCTGGGCACCTTTAATCATTTCTCATGCATCTCTCACTTCCCTAATACATTTATTACGTCAGGCCCTGAAGTTAATTTCTAAAAACTCCTCCCTTGGATGCCTCATGGGGGATTATTTATTCAACTTGTGAAGGAGTATAAATAATTATATGTTTTATAATACAAACAGCATAATACTTATTATTAATATATAATTTAAACATTAATTGCTTATATATAATTCTTATTTTTTATACTAATTTCAATGGGAATTCAATGTAAATAAAAAGTAAATATTAAATATTGTTAAACTTCAATAAGTCAATAATAAAATACATTTTTCAGTTATCTAACAACTGTTTGTATTGTCTTCACTGCATGGGCATTAATAATACATTCATTAAAACTGATTCTGAATTAAAATTAGACATTAAAATACATTTTACAAGATGCATGTTTGTGTTTTAAAAAAGGAAAAACTTTTCTCAATACATGGGAATTGATGAGTCTTCAACATGCAAAAATGTGCTTTGATGATCTGAGTGACTACAACTATGCTCAACAACAATCCTGTGCTCAAATTTGATCTTGCCATTTATAGTTCATGTATTAACTTGAATCACTTTAACCACCTTTTACAGAGAATTCCCTCACTCTGTCCCCTGGAATTTACACTGAATGAAGATAATCTACACTAGCCTGTCGTCATCATGTCCCTATTATCTCCGAAGCTTCTGATCATCTCTGGAAGCCTCCCAGATTGTGACCTCTGGGCTTTTGACTCAGAGCTCAGACACAAGCAATGATAACAGCCTGTTTCCCTCATCAGAGTCTGTGTTCGGCCTAACCAACCTACCAATCAGTCTGCAATTAGCAAGTTGTGACACCATTGTTCCGGATCCTTCCACCAGCATGAGAATAAAACAGACCAGAGAGTGAGAGTAATGAGGGATCAGAGATGTGCTTATACCGGCTGTCTGTTAGGGTAACATGACAAAAGTATATTATAAAGAGGAGCTTGTTAACACAGATGGTAATAAAAGGTTTCTTTCCTAAATCTTCTGCTATGTCCTGGAGTTGACAGACATTTTCGTCCTGAGTGTTGTGCAATGAATCCAGCTAGAATCAATTCCAATTAAGCAAGAAAAATGAGTAAACTCAAAATGACAGCTGGTACTTACATCAAACAACACTACAAAAATATGCTTGAGTGCATTACGACAAACAAACATGCATTTCATTTAGCAGCACACGTCCAGCACACACACACAAGCCCTTTGTGTATCAGGTCACTTTCAAAGCATGCTGTCCTGTGGCTAATTGGTTCATCTAAGGATCAAATCACATCATGCTGCAGTCAGTATGCTTTAAACATGCAGCTCCAATGAAATGCCATGATATATAAGTGTATTTACCTATGCCGTAAGGACCACACACATTGCCATTGACATAGTAAATGAGCACAAACAGTCAGCACTTTACTCATTGTCTTTCAGGCATGCATTGCATCTCCATGGCATCTATGACGTACCCTGGTATGCTAGAGTACACATGCAGCTACAGTTGTTTTGCATGAACTGAAAGGGCAACTTTTGTTCTCTGCATTTACTCTCAGTCTTTCACTTTTCACATGAATTGGTCTCAAAAAT